TCTGATCATTTATGTATACATTTGTCTATATCTATCTCGATTCGTTTTGCCTGTTACAAACAACCGTTATGTGAACAAAGTTATAATACCCTTGTGCACAAGTGCGCTCGGGTATAAAAAATACAATTAAACAAGAAATGTGATATAATTCATATGAAGAAAGTAATATTCACAAGATATTTTTACTTCTGAAAAGTCTAACAAATATAGGATAAGAGTCGTCTTTAATAACTGCTCAGCAAATTGGACATAGCGCTTTAGCATTAATTTTAGCTGCATGCTTTTTTAAATGTGTTGAAAACATTGCTGGAAAACCGTAAAATGTTTGCATGGAACCACGGCGCAATAAACAGGTGAAGTTATAAAACAGCTTTCTCGCCGTATTTTCGGTCATTCGGCTGCCTTATAGTCAAATTCCATGATTCAATAATACATTATTATTATTATACAGCATTATTGAATCATGGTCAAATTCTAAAGACAATTTTTCAAATAAGGCAATGTCAAAATCTAACTTCTCGCTCTAATTACTTCACCTGGTATAATTCCGCCATGGCATGGAACAAACAAAAGTTGCAGTTCCTGTTCGCAGCATATCACACAGAGAATATTGTTTTGAGTTTTATCTTCAGTTAAAATTTCTGCATTATCATCACTTGTTTCACTATATCCGAAATATGGATTTCGTTTACGAAGACGAAGCGAACATGCGGTACGAAATAGTGATGCAAAAATATGTAAAATTTTACCTACTCTAACACTTGTAAATTTGAACGTATACTCGGTACAAGCAGGTGGGATGAACGACGCAATAAACAGGTGAAATAATAAACAGCTTTCTCGCTTTATTTTCTGATAAGGCAGTGTCAAAATATTTCTTCCCACTCTAATATTACTTCACCTGGTATAATTCCACCATGGGTGGGGTGCATGCAATAACACCATACGCAATAATTCCAATTACTTGGACATTAAAAAGCAGTTTCAGAAGTGAACTAGTGTCATTTTATTAATATTCTTTTTTTCTAAACGGTCATAATGCCAGCAGTGCATAATTGCGAAAGGAGGGGAGGGGACGGGGACGCGAGCGCGACGTTGAACGCGGCGCGGTGCGGGGCGGTGTGCGAACGCGGACCGCCGCGACGCTGGGCACTTCAAAATTGCATACTTACAAATCCATCCATTTAACTTGTTCATGTACTACTTTTTGTCAAATGTAACTTGGTGACTACCTACATATGTGCACTATTTTGCCTTATTACTCAAATTGTTAAGTTTAAAAGTTGGTCTTATTGCTCAACGAGAAATGAAATAAAGCAAATCTGTGTTATTTCACATTCAATTGGGAAATAACAAAAATTTTCGTTATTGCCGTTTGTGTTATATATTTCACCACCCGCACCAGCAGCTGGTACAATCACACCACAAGAACATACACGTTAAGGGCCGTAACTTATCTATTTCAAACTATAGTTAAATCGTTAATGGATAAGTTAACAGCCCTAACACTTTTACAGTATGTAGGTATATGGGTGAAAATTTCTGGCCACGGATTTCAGTCAAGTTGGCATTTTTGCGTGAAAATTAGAGAGATTTATAGATGTGAAATGGATTGTGAGAATTTTTTTGAAAATTTTTTTGAAAAATTTAAATTTTTGAAGTTTTTATAAGCAATTTAATTTTTAAGCAATCTTTTTTTAAAAAATCATTTTCTCTTAAAGTATTTGACGAAAGTTGATGAAATTTTTTTTGTAAGCGTAGTGACATTGAAGCTTTTAAAAAAAATATTTTTATAATTTAGAAAAAAAAAATTTGGTTTAAAATTATATCATAAATATTGAAGTTGCATTAAAAATATGTTCTCAATGAGTGTTTGAAATTTCGTTTATATTTTCGAAAACTGCATTTATTGAAGAAAATATTTCTGAAAAAAAAAATTGTTGGATCTTTTTTGTTTATTATTAACAGCCACAGCTTGCACGCATCGTGAACCATGCACGCTCACCGTTTAAGCGCACAACGTGTTCACTGGGAAGCTTGTACAGGAGCAGCTAATATGTATGAATTTACGGTTTAAGAATAAAACATAAACCATGTGTCAGATATGAAAGTTTATTGTTTTATTGGTATTATTTGTTTTTTTCAGTTGTATAACATGAAGCAGGCTAAACTCATTTTAATTAACAGGTACAATTACGGATTCATCATGTCCTGAAAAAATTTTGCATTCCATTTTCTTTTGGACATTGGGCACAAAACGATGAAATTGGCGAGTATTTTTTAGAGTTTTTGCTTTGTCGTAACGCGTTTTAAGTTTTCGTGATCATTTTTCGTGCAGAATCAAAAATGTATTGACTTGAAATACATTCGTGCCCATTCAAAAAGCGATTGTGCCTCTGTAATTTTCTTAGAGTCTCGGTTTTGTAAACTGGAACGATAAGCGTTTCGCTTGATCACACTTCCAAGCCCATCGCATGCACATTTACTGTGTGCTGAAGCGAAAAAGTTCCACTCGGCGTCCACTTTAAAGTCTTCTTTGTGATGGAGCAAGTTGATAAAATTAAATTTATTTTTATACTGAGAACCGGCTCCATCAGAATAGTAATAGATTTTTTTTACGTTTGGTCGGCCAAAATTAACCTTCATGAACGAAATTAATTTTGTATTGAACAAATTCACTGCAGAACTGTCGTGTTCGTGTGTTCCACAACAACACTTTTTTTGTAGTAAATCACATACGGATGAATTGTTGCTTGCGTTGTGTTCCAATATTCAGATTGGACTGAATTTTGCACGCGACAGGTATAATCTTCAGCAAAATCCAGACAAACAACATACTCTCCATCGTCTAAATTATTCTTCTGGTCAGTGAGCCATTGATTTTGACATCTTGCAATGAAATCGGGCTTCAATGTGAGCGATAAATCCTTCATTAGATTTGCCAGAAACAGCTTGCTTGGCTCCTTCACTTCTTACATTGTGCACCTGTTACATGAAGTTATTTTTGACTTTTTAGCCGAAATAGTACAATTTTTAATACCCATATTTAAATATAAAAAAAATAAATGTAAAAATTTATCCAAACAAAATATAAACAATTTTATTTAAATTTGTTTATGTAGTGTTAATTGATGGAATAAAACTGATCGACATGGGACTATTTAAATCTTCCATTATTCTTTATGTAATTTACCTGTCGGTGCTAATCCATTGCTGGAAAGTTATGGAAGAAATGTTTCGTGTTTGTAAGAGAGACTGGCAATTTTTTGAAAGTTTCTCCATTCTAGGACATTCCGAAGATCTTAGCAGAAAGCAATCGGGTGTTGGATTCAAACATACTATTTTTGCAAAGCAATTTCGACATTCCAGTGAGAAGTCAGGGTCTTTATCTCTTTATCCAATCCCACAAATTTGAGGCGAAAATTTTCATGCGTTTTGCATACGCATATATTGTGTGTACCTTTTGGACCCACGAAAATACACTGGAGTGGACGCAATTTTACGAAGACGGATAACGAAACTTTCGATTTGGGATATTTTTCACAGAATTCCGCAGGTAAAATTGCAAGATTTGCTAGCAGTAATCTTTTCTGCTCTTGTGATCGAATTCCATTTTTGTTGACAGATTTATAATCTTTAACGCCAGGCATAATTCGACTCACATTATCAGAACGATAAAAGTTTTAAATTGTTTCAACAATGGCTGAATCTATAGGACTACCCTTTTTTTTGACGGTCGTGACCGACTCCACCCGTAGCACGTTGATTTTTAGCTTGGTAAGTCATTCGGCGTGATACGTTAATACTGTCTCTTATCATTTTAATGCTCCAATTTTCCGGAACCATAGTTAGAACAGAAATTTTGTTCGCACGACACGTTTGCTTGTTAAAAAGTACGCGCAAATTTGATTATTTGAGTTGCATTCTTCAATATTTGATCCATTCTTTATAATATTCCTTTTAATGTTCTCTAGACTCGCATTTAACTCTTCTTTTTCGTGGTCAGATAAATCTGAAAGTCGCTGTATTTTAATGGCAGGTTCCCTGAACTGCTCGAGTAAACTACTAATTTTTGATACTGTGAATGATTCATCGACCGATTCATTAGCAAAAGAAGGATCTGCAATTAAGTCGTCATGTGCAATTCCGCTGTCATCCTCTGCATCACTATTATGGTTAGCTTCAAAATCAATCAAAACCTGCAATTGACACACAGAATTTAAATTCCGCAAATAGAAATAAGTAAAATTATTCCACAAGTTGCACTGCAAACTATCATTAATTTTATTACTTTTATATACTAGTAGAATATCTTTGAACGTAAGTTTTTCAATTGGAGTTATTAAAAAACTAATTTCAATTGATAATGTGTTAATAAAAACAGTTTCGACTTCTTACCTGTTTTTTGTTGCGGAATGAATTTGAGGACATTTTAACCGGCCCATTTTATAAATCTCAGTTACACACGAGTGGCACATGAAGCGATTTATGAATTCACTGAATTTATTTTTTTTCCACTTACTGGTTATAAGCTTTAACCTTTTCGTGACACATTTGTGTCATTTTCTTTCAAAAGGATTACAACAGCAATGCGCCCTTGTCATTTTAAACGATTTTACATGAACAAATAACAAATTAAAAAAGAATTTCACTTAATCGTAACCCGTCTTTGCCACGTTTGTTGCGAAAGTTGACTGATGACGCTAGAACAGAGGTGGGCACTCACACTATCACACATATGCGCTTGTGTGCGAAGCAAAGCAGGTTTTCTCACCAGCCAGTGCTCGGACTTCGCCAAATTTGTGGAATAGATAACACGTTTTTTTTGCTAAATTACATTTCAACTACTTCAGCCACCGTAAGCTAAAAAACTACCACATCTTGAAACTTTTTTTTATTTCTATTTGTTCATTTGCGCATGAATGGGGATTTTCAACAACAAAAACCAACCTTGCTTGCTGCGACGTCGACACATGTATGATACGATGGTCATCGTGCGTCTTAAGCTGATGCCACATAAAACTTTTGCTTCGCTTTACGTGACAGATTCGCTTTGACAGATAAGATGAATTGTATGAAAATGCACAAAGCATGCCACATAAATCGTTGAAGCTGCAGCGCGAAGCGAAAAGATGGCCAACTCCCATCTTTTTGCGCGCTTTGACAATCAGCCGGTTTAATATTTATATTTTGTTTCGTCCAAATTCGGGTTTTCATGCAGAAACAGAAAACTTAATTACATTGCTGATAATTTTAAAGCAAAATATATAAAATCCACAGCAACTTTTACCGAGTAAAACAGCGGTACAAAATTGCTTTCTTGGCGTTCATTGTGGCATACCTTTTGCGTCTGGCGCTTTGCTGGCAAAGTTATAAATGTCACGCAAAGCTACAAAGTTTTATCTGGCATCAGCTTTACGATAATTGACGATTGACTGATGCTTTGTTAGCACTTCGGCAAAGCAAATCAAATCAGTTGATGCTGAAGTTCTGAACACATTGAAAACGACGAGCTACGGACCACAGCTTCCAATTTGTCATCTTCATTATCTAAACGCTTTGTCGATGGCGACATGATTTCTTTGAACGCGGCAGCGACATCATGAATTTGTATGAGTCTGACATAAAAGAAGAGGAAGAATCTTGTCTGTTGCCATTAAAATAGAAATAGATCTAATCTGGCCACAACCACAACCGTCGCGTAGCCCGGTCGTCGCCAAAATAATTATCTACATAAGAGTACGTGGTAAAATAATTTGACAGCTGTGGTCCGTAGCTCGTCGTTTTCATTGTGTTCGGGCTATGAGACTAATATGGTAGACAAACGGGCTCGATTATTTGCATAACCAGCCTTAATTTGTTTAACTCATGCATTTTCCTCTTTAAAATGAGCATAAGCAGCCGAACAAATGCACGTAATTTTTGGGAATTAACTCGGATCCGGGGAATTTTCGATGACAACACTGGTAAAAACGGCCAGTTGTTGTCTTTTGTACAAGTAAGCAAACGAAGCAGTCGGGTTTCGCGTACGCGGTAGCCGAGTGGTGAGAGTTGCAAGCTACAAGCCTGTAGCTGCCAGGTTCGATACTCGGTTGGAGCGATTGAGAATTTTTTTTGTTTTTATTATTTTTTTCTTTATATATTTTTATTTTATTTTATTTATATATTTAATTTTACTTTATTTTATTTTCATTTGCTTTATTTTATATCACATTTCTTATTTTACTATTAGTTAATTTTAGTTTTTAGAGATGAATTTTGTTAAAAATTCAACAACAACTAACTGAAAGTAACGTAAACAAAAATATAGAACTTATAAAAAAAAGAATGAAAAAGAAATAAAAAAAGTATACTGGCCGTGGGACTCGAACCCACGACCTTGCGGCTGGTTTATTCGCATTACTGCCGTCTGTAAGGGTAAAATTTTAATTTGCATTTATGCTTATTAATTCAAATTAATTTTCTCCGTCTGTCTACCATATTATCTGCGCAACTACCTGGGGGAAATAAAATGTGGTACACGACCAAAGTAAACTTTGATATTAGAAATAGAAACAATACTACAGTAGGCGTGGTCAGAAACATCATTTTTTCGAATGTGTGATATTCTAGTGAAAGTGATAAAAAGTTCAAAAATTGTGTGAAATACATCTTTAACAGCTTTTTCAAGAGCTTCTAAAAGGCTTGCGATCGATCGTAGGAAAAAAAGTGGCACAAACGCAGAAAAAGTGGTGTTATTGAATTTTCAATAACCGAAATAAAAGAAAGTGTGTAAAGAATATAAAATTTATTGATTTGCAGAGCATTTCAGTGTAATGTGGCTTTATTTTTTTTTTCATAGCAAAATGGCACCGAAAGCTCTGCTTTCCGATTCAGAAAAGAAAATTGCTCTCAATTTGAAGAAGGAAGGCAAAACTGTAAGAGATATAGCAAAAATTATGTGCAGAAGTAAGACAACAATTCACAAGTTTTTGAAAAATCCACATGGTTTACCAAATAAACCGCGATTGGGCCGCCCGCCAAACATTGATGAAAGGACCAAGCGTCAAATTAAGCGTTTAGCGGTGAATAAATCCCTGAGCTCTGGCCAAATAAAAGCTCAACTCTCTCTTGAGGTGACAAAACGTCGAGTTCAACAAATTTTAAGTTCAGACGATAACGTTAGATATGAAAAAATGTTGCCTGTACCACAGCTCAAGCAAAGCCACAAGCAAGCAAGACTACAGTTTGCTGAAAAAAATAAGTTCTGGTTGCATGAATGGGATAACGTTATTTTTAGCGACGAGAAAAAATTCAACTTAGATGGACCCGATGGTAAAATGAAGTATTGGAGAGATATTCGCCGAGAGAGACAGACATGCCATGCAAGAAACTTTGGAGGTGGCTCATTGATGATATGGGCAGCATTTGGATTGAAGGGAAAGTCACCAATTTCCTTCATATCAACAAGAATGAATTCCCAAATGTATGTTGAACTCCTCGACAACGTATTAATCAATTTTGGTGAAACTGTTTGGGGAAACGAATGGATTTACCAACAGGACAATGCCGCTATTCATGTTTCTAACATGACGAAAACGTTCTTTGAGACTCGAAACATAGAACTTTTGCAAAGGCCAGCCGGATTTGAATCCCATGGAAAATCTCCGGGGACTACTTTCAAGCAACGTCTATAAAAATGGGCGTCAGTTTGAAACATTATTGGGCTTAAAAAGGGCCATAATTGAAGAGTGGTCGAAAGTTAGCGAGTCTGCGCTTCAAAATCTTATTTCTTCAATGCCACGTCGTTTGAGTGAAGTTATAGCTAAGAAAGGAAGTAACACACACTACTAATTATATTGCATTCACTACCAGTGTCATTGTTTTTTTGTTTGTACCACTTATTATTTCCTTCGGGGTAAATACAATTTTGTTCTTTAGGTTTTAAACTTAATAATTAACTAAGTTTTTTTTTACACTTCCGTATTATTATTCGATTGTTTTTAAAACAAAATAAAAACTAATGAAATGCGTCCATTATTCTTTTGTGAAATGTTCAAAAGTGATTTGTACCACATTTTATTTCCCCCAGGTATTCGAATAATACACACAAACTGTTTCAGGAGAAATGGGAAATAACACCAATAATCTTCTTTCAGATGTAAAAAATGCTTGTAAAAACGCTCGAATAAAAGTATGTATATATATTAGACTGCATCACTCTCCAAACAAAAAAAAGTTCGTACTATTTTCCATCGGAATTATAAAATCTATTATATTTTAATACGAACACCAAAATATTAATAAATATTATTTTAAAATACCTCTAAAAATGGAGTTTTTTATGAATCAAAATAGTTTCTTAAAGTTTTTTTTGAAAAAATCCCCTCAAAAGCTTTAGCTTAAAAAATTTGCTTAAAAAAATAAAACAAAAAATTAAAAAAATTTAACGGAATCGTAATAATGAGATTTTTGATGCTGTTTTTTAACTTTTTTCTAAGTTTGGTATAGGAAAAACTTCAATAACTGAACCTAAACTCTTCCGATTTAGACTTGTGAGGTATCATTGGAAAGGTATTTTCTCACCCTTTTTATTTGTTTGCTAACTCATTCAAAGGATGAAAGAGAAAGGTAGGATGAACGAACGTCATTCAAAGTTGAATTAAAATGTGTTGGTATTTGAAAAAAAAAAATATAAAATTGGGACACGAATGACATTTTTTGACAGAAATAAAAACAGTGTGAAAATACCTTTCTACTGAGATCCCATAAGTCTAAATCAGAATAGTTTTGGCCCAGTTATTCAAGTTTTTCGTAAATCAATCTTTGAAAAAAGTAAAAAAAACAGCATCAAAAATCTCATTCTTACGATTCCGTTGAGAAGATTTTTAAATATTTTTATGCAGATTTTTTAAGCTTAATCTGTTGTGTCATCTGAGGGGACTTTTTACAAAAAGTTCTTTAAGAAACTATTTTTATTCATAAAAAAATCCATTTTTGGGGGTATTTTCAAATCGGTGCAGCTCGCTTAAATCTTACTATTTTTTCGAAATATTTTGATGAACGTCTTAAAATATAATAAATTTTGTAATCCCGGCGGAAAAACCGCAACTTTTTCTGGTGATGCAGTCTAATGTTCATATTTAGTATACAAATTTTCATTCGAATTTCTCTGCTTCGCACCCGAGTCACCTCCGAAAATCATATATGTATGCACATACACTCGGGTTCAGCAGATTAAGTTAAGTGACGTTTTAACCAGTTTTGGCTATTTTTCTTTTTTCTATTTAATGTTTATAACTTTTTCATAAAAGTCTAGCAAATTACTTAACCAGCACCACATAAATCCACATTTCAACTTCGTACAAAAACTCTAAAAATTCAACAAACTTTAACAGTTACAACCAAAAATTTTAAAGTTTTTATTTAGAATTTCTAGAAAAATTTAGGAATGCAATTTTACATCCCATTCAATTTTAGTAACTAAAAGTGCAAATTTCAAGACGCTAGGAAATCGCGTTGTTTTTTAATTATTGACAAGTTCTTTTGTATGGAAGAAAATGTTTAGCACCGTCAGCAAAAAAACATAAACATTAAATAAACAAAAGACAAAATCGGTCAAACTGTCACTTAACTTAGTTAACTGGCCATACTTAAGTGCATATAATATATTTATAAATTTATTTATTCGAATCTACCACATTGTTTTGGAATGTACTACAATTTTTCATGCTTATTTACCACTAAAAAAACTTTGGAGACCGAACACTGTCAACAGCAACTGATTTGATTTGCTTTGCCGAAGTACCAGCGAAGCATCAGTCGATCGTCAATTATCGTAAGACATACGAAGACGATGATAGTATACACGGTGGAGAGAATACAGAAGTTGGCGCCGATGGCGATACCGCTAATTGGCTCTCAGTGAATTTGACAGAATCAGCTGTTTTGCTGACATCACAGTCGATGTGAAAGCAGTAGTGATGTGCTGAGTATATA